TTTTCTTTTGTTTAACCATAATGCTGTCACTTGAAATGTATAATATACGCCCTATTCTCAAGGAGAAATCTGACTAGACCAACGAGATGAACCACAAAATGTGACGATAGACTAAGTATTGCCAAATCTAAAGGGCTTTAACTAAATTTCCCAAACAGGTACACTTAGACTCAGGATATTTCAGACCACGGTGAAAATGTATGCTTCAAGACTCAAGTTCGATCAATAACCCGCTAACTTGGAGGTTGTAAAAGTCACTTGAACGAGCTGCTGCTGGCACTTTGGTATGCAAATTGATGGGCGGCGAGTGGAGTGGAGAGGTGATGAGGATGTCTGGTGTGCTTTGGAGGATACGAACGCAACTTAAAGAGAAAAGGAGAGTTGATTTAGATATCAGTGATTAGTGAGTAGTATCTCATGTGTATATGCGCATTGCCCCAAATATCGTTCTTGATAAGTATACGAATACTAACGCTAGCTCGTAACTTACGTCATAACTCTACTAGCGAGTATCATAGTGCTGCTGTGAAAAAGAGGATACCTACTTCGTGAATTCACAAATACAAGAGGATTTTAGGATTTGGGTTGAAATTTGCGATGTGTAATAGAGGTGAAGAAATGGATAGTGGTTTGTTGCGATTTGACGATTGTGGGCATTTGGATTGTGTTGTTTTGATCATAGGCTCCTCCTTAAATCAGCCGAAGAGCTAGTTGCAGGCGGCAGATGCAGTGTACATCAGATCGTATGTCATTTTCCACGTAGCAATTGCTATTATCTTTCAAAATGTCACAAACAACAAGACCTTACACGAAATAATACCGAGGTGGTTTGTGTTTTGTGATGACTCTATTGGAAGAAAGAAAAAAGAGTTGCGGAGATTAAGATCTTCATCTCCAGAGTATGTTGGTGTCTTTCTCCGATGTCCCTTTTTGCAGTCATACGAAAACTGATACCAGTAGCCTGCATTCCACAGGTTACTGAATGGGGCACCGCGTAAGCGTCATAGAATAACTTATCTATGTGAAAGAAAGAGATTAAAGGAGAGATTTCCCAGCCTTGACCGTGTTAAATATAAATTTGCCTTGTCCGGAGATCGTAACACAGTCATCTCACCTCCCTCGCCCCCAAACATTAAATTTGGGACACAGCATCCATACCAACCAACCTTTTGTGAAAGACCAACTCAGCTTTGGATATTTGTCAGCTGCAGTAAACTCTCACTCTTTATCTGTCACACAATCAATTTGCTGATTCATAAAGTCAAAAACGGGATATTCGCGAAGAGGCCGCTCTATGGAGTTGTTATCTCCGGTCCGGACTCCGGATCCGAATAATATGGAAGGAGAGGCTCCTTATTCACTGCCTCGTTCTTTCTACTCATGGTTTTGTTGTGAGAAGCGAGTACATATATTCGAGAGTTCGCATTGTAGAAAGTGAAAATCGCAATATTCAACTGCTTCTTCTTGTGTTCGATACACACAAACCACTGCTTCCCCTCCACACAAACAACAAACTTTCAAATAATCAACAACCACAAGAGAAAGAATCTCCATCGAAAAAATGCATTTCCTCATTTTAGGTGCATCTGGTAGAACAGGAAGTCTTGTACTTGCTGAAGCTCTCTCACAAAGTATGTATACCTCATCCCCTTACCCCGGTCCCAAGCCAAGCATTTCAATACCACCCCACACCCATCCATAAAAACCTACCAAGAATCCCCATTCGCTAACCCCTACCCCACCAGACCACACCGTCACAGCACTCGCACGCAATCCCTCTTCCATTCCCGAAGCCCCGGGCCTCACAATCATCAAAGGCACGCCATCCTCCTCCTCGGATCTCACAACCGTCTTTACCAGCGGTCCCAAAATCGACGCGGTCCTCGTAACCCTCTCATCTAGTCGGGCGTCGGATTCCCCCTTCGCAGCATCGACTTCTCCTCCTGATTTCCTTAAAAATGTCATCTCGACAGTTACGCAATCAATGGCTGCTCATGGTGTCAAGAAAATAGTCTACATGTCTGCTTTTGGAGTGGGTTCTTCGAATGGTGCGCTTTGGTTACCGATGCGTTTACTTATCAATAATTCGACAATGGGGAAAGTCGGATTTCAGGATCACGCTGCGGCGGAGGAAGTGCTGAAGGCTTCGGGCTTGGAGTACAGTGTTGTGAGAAGTGCGATGTTGAAGGAGGGAGAGAAGAAGAGTATTGTGGAGCATGGCGCTGAGGGAAAGGGAATGGGTCATTTGCCGGGATGTACGAGGAAGAGTGTTGCGGGATTCATGGTAGAGTTGGCCGAAAGACAGAGGTGGGAGAATAAAGTGGCGGTCATCTGTAATTAGGGAGTTACAGGTGATGGGAAGTGTGATTGCGCGGTCAATGAATGGATGATAAATAGCATATGCGGAGCCATTAGGTGTGGGGATTTTAGATCAGCTAGACAGTTTTGCTTTTTGCTTTTGTTGCTTAGAGAAAGATATCCATTGTTCTAATAATCTATTCGTTGCTCATTATTTAAACAAACTTGTCTTCCTACGGAAAAGATTATCCTGGCCTGACAATAATATTTTATAGATGTGGATCGTAAATATATTTTCAGTTGAAGAGGAAATGTACACACAATGAGAGTAACGCTATAGATTACTGAGGAAGGTGCCATTCAATTTTTTCCTTTTTTGATTCTCGACATATACGAAGCAGCGAACCACAAAAGAAGTTGCTCGTGTCTTAGCACGTACTGGGTAGCTATCGCCAATGAAGCATACCCCTCTTTCCGCCAATTATTCAACCTTCATTCCACCATCCTCATCATAGAAGATCTCTCTAACCTTGACACATCTCAAATGGTTCTTTCCTTGACTCAAAGTAGAATCATGATAAAACAACCACCATCGTCCTTGAAATTCCACAATACTATGATGAGTCGTCCATCCCACCACTGGCTCCAATAATCTCCCTCTATACACAAATGGTCCTTCGGGCTTGTCTCCTACCGCGTAACACAGGTAATGTGTATCACCCGTTGAGTATGAGAAATAGTATTTTCCTTTATATTTGTGCATCCACGATGCCTCAAAGAATCTTCTATCATGATCATCTGCACCAATCTTCTCGCCAGTTTTCTCATCCAAGATAGATATTTCTTGGACAGGAGAAGAGAACGAATGCATATCCTCACTCAATTTTCCCACTCTTGGACCCAGTGCAGGTCCAGTAGTAGGCTCCATGGTGCTATATTTTTCCTTTTCGAAAACCTCATGTTGGTTTCCCCAGCACTGAAGCTGACCACCCCATATTCCTCCAAAATAAACATAAGCCTCTCCGTCATCATCGACAAAACTACATGGATCGATACTGTAACTTCCCGGGATATAGTTCTCATCGGGAGTAAAAGGACCTTCAGGTTTATCGCTCTCGGCAACACCGATACGGAAAACACCATCATGGTCGCGAGCTGGAAAATATAAGTAGTATTTTCCATTCTTGGTGCAAGCGTCCGGGGCCCATAGTTGTTTGGAGGCCCAGGGAACAGAAGAATTTGAGAGAGCGACACCGTGATCGGTTACCTGACCGGGAATCGAGGACATTGAGAAGACGTGGTAATCTTCCATTGCATATTGATCTCCATTATCATTGTCTTGGATATCGGTTGGGATATCATGTGAGGGGTAGATGTAGAGAGTGTTGTTGAAAACATTAGCCGATGGGTCGGCGGTGTAGATGTGAGTAATAAGAGGTTCTTTGTCAGACATGATGTACGTAATTGATCAGAAATTTAGACGTTGCAATTGAGAGAAATAAAAAAATAAAGATGAGGAACAGGAGGGGATATTATATGCAGGCACAGGTTGTGGTGGGGGCTCGTTGCATTTATCCATTTATCCATAATGCTGGTTAGTTTAGTTGAGTTGCGGTTAAATAGGGGTAAATATTTTCAGAGTCGGTCCTTTCGTCAATTCTGATTCGTAGGCTTAATAGACAAGCTTGGCGATCATAAATCTAAATGACATCAACAATACGGGGCGAAGACGATTTTAAAATGGTGAAAAGAAATGTTGAGACAACACAGAAAACCAGGGCAACTAAGAAATCAACCGCAGCCCAAGGTAAAAACCAAAGCCCAAGGAATTGAACCCATATTGAAACATTGAGGAACGTTTTGGGCCTAAAAATACATGATCTTGATGTGTAAATTATTCCATCTACCTTCTCCAAGCATCCTCGTGGAAGACGAATTTGTAGTCGCATTTTCACATATTGATTCAAGGATAAGAAATGGAGATCTTCTCATATTGTGATACAATGAAGGCATGTCGTGCACACCAACAGCGTTCCAGTATCTAGCTACAGACACGACAAAGCTGGCTGACCAAAGAAATCCGTTCCTTGAAGTACACTGGTACAGTAAGACCCATTCATCAATTGCGACATATCTCAACTCCAAGTACAGTCCCCTGAATTCATTTTGAACATAAAGTCAAATTTAAGCGTTGAATAATGGCATCTAATTTGCCAATCTCGATCATTGGATGATCTTATTTGAAGCAGAAGAGAGAGGTACCTATATACTATTATCAAATCAAGCCCACAAATTTCAAAGTGTACTAGTATATTGATTATTAACAACCACATCACCCTCCCGTTCTATTCTCCCACTCATCGCCTGCAAATCAGTCACTTGCAAAAAAAAAGCGTATAATAAGAGTTGAGGCCCCGGCTTATCGCACACTACCCTTTTTCGTGACAAAATCCCTGCAAAAAAGTCGTTTTCCCATACAAATTTATTTCTTTTATAATTTATTTAATAATTGAAGAATTAATTTGAAAATCTCTTATATAAAAAATTACTATATTTGAAATCTTAAAAAATGAATGAATTATTTTTAGTATTTTTTTTGATATAATTATAGGTTTTCAAAGTTGAAATTTTTCGAAATTTATTACATGTAACGCTTTTTCCATATAAAAAAATCGATTTTTTTGGATTTTTTGGAAATTCTAACTTTGAAAACCTACAACTATATCAAAAAAAATACTAAAAATAATCCATTCATTTTTTTGAATAATTTTAATAATTAATTATAATATATATCAATTTCGATAATTTCATTTCTATATTTATTGAAATAATATATAATTCAAAAGTTGAAGAAATGAAGGTTTTTGGTGTGTTTTCGGCTAGTGTGCGATAAGCCGGGGCCTCAACTCTTACATTAAGAATATTTCCCTCATCCACCCGTAGCTCGTGATATATTCCTTCTTGTAAATCAATATGCCTATTGCCCAAACGCCTGGCTTAAAATTCCGCTCATTTCATGTCCCAATTGCTTATCCATCGTTGCCATGTATTCATAAAATGCAATAATCACATAACGATACAATCTTTCTGCCTCTCTGGCTGTTGAGGGGTCGGTAGCCCTTGGTTTGGGGCTTGAATCCTGCGCCCAGGAACCTGATCTATGAGCGTCTGACTACCCCCTCTAATGCCACCATGAGAAGCCGTATTACGGCGACCTGTAGCGCTAGCTGGCGGACGTTGCTGACTATCAGCGGTTGCTGTATAAGCACTTGTTCTCCGGCTTGGATCTGCGTTTGGATGTGCAGGATGATTATCTGGAGGTTGGTAAGCTGGTTCGGTAGCAGCTTGCTCGTATGTGGGAGGTGGTGCATCAATACCTGCTTCTGGGTCGACGGCAGGAGTGGCTACATTACTGTTGCGAGGAGGAATTGCGGGACGACCTCGTGTACTATTACTACCACGAATTGACCCTCCTCGGACTGGGACATTGACTCCACGGCCTCTGGTACTACCCCGTCCACTACCGCCCCGCTGGTTAACAGGGACATTACTACTATTGTTGCTGCTCCCCTGTTGCTCAATGTACTGCTGTGAAAGCTCCGACTCTCTTTGCCTTCGTGCGGTTTCATTTCGGTTACGCTCGTCCTCTTCTTCCTGCAGTTGTAGTGCCAAGGCGAAATCGTGATCTTCCTGTTCTGTGGTCGTACCTTGCTCGTGATTCTGCGATTCTTGTTGATTCCCCAATGGTGCGTCATGTGAATTTTCAACTCGATTATTGTTTCTACGGCCAGTGACTGTGGTCCAATTACCTTCTTCATTTCCTTGGTGTAGAGTGGAAGGTCCACCGACTAAACGAAAGTCACCAGAATAAAACTCAGCCCTTTCTCCATTAACATCAATAAGGCCTTCCCATACAACTTCTGCATGTCCGGCATAACCAGAATCTGTCACGAGCTGCAATAGTTGAAGAGTTGTCGGATGTTTGAAGATTGTGGAAAAGTGGTCATTTCGAAATAGAATGGCTACAGCACCTGGACTCATAGACTTAGTTATGAGATTCAAGCCGTGAGCTGTAAGCTGAGTTGCTGCGGAGATAAAAAAAGCTTTGATAGTTGAAATATCCTCTAGGATCCCTTGTTCCTCGAAACTGAGACCTTCAGCAACTAACTTTTCTTCTAATACCTCTTCATGAAACATCAGGTTTTGTGCGTCTTCATACGATTTAGCGGATCTTTTGAGTGCCATGTAAGCAGGCGATTCTTCCTCGGGGAGCCAACCATGAATCAAAGGCACAGAGAAGGTACCATATAATTTCATTTCACGAGTTTCCTCAAATGTACCTGGAAGCGAACTCTCACGCTGCGCAGGATGAATGTGTGGCATTGAGTTTCTGGGGTCATTCGCTGATTGAGTAGAGTCAACGGGAAAGAAGAGGGGGTTAACGTTCATTCCCGTATGGAGTGTTAGCAGAAAGGAATATAGATCGCCCACGTCTGGAAGCTCTTGTGCAGCATCTCCACGTCGCCCGGACATGAGTTCATCAAAAACTGCATCGAGCAATAATCCGAGACTGACCTGCTCTCGCGACCGGAGTGTCTCCACTAGAGCAGTTTCCACATTTGCGGGTGTCGATAAAGTCAAAGCATTCACAAGAGCCAACAGAGGACAAGGTCCATTGGCATTTTGTACCAGAATAGGTGAAATTCTGGGGTTATGTTGGGCATTGATGTCATGCCAAGATATTTTCTTAATCTCGTACGTCTCTTTCTTCTGTCTTAGAGCAGCTGTTGACACACCAGGTGTCGTAATCGGTATTGTACTTGTGTTTGCCGCATCTAAGACTGGGCGCGGAGGCTGGGGAGGAGGATGTTCTTGAGAGTTGCGCGGTGGAAGCGCTGGAGCAATTTCCTCAGAGGGTATTCTAAAAATCTCTGTGCCATCTGCACCGACTACTCCACTTTGCTGAACATTCTCTGGTATGGTATCATGATCAATTAAATTCCACCCTTCCGCAGGAGGGTTAGAATATTGTGCGTTCCCAGAGGACTGAACTGGAATCGTTTGTGACTGATTCGAACTTTGGCCATGAGTAGAGTCCCATGCATGTTGGTCTTCTAGTATCTCCTGCGTTTCGTGCGTAGGTAATGTCGACTTCTTGGGGCTAACTGGCGTTCCTTCTTCCTCTTCACCATCGTCATAATCATCCTCATCCCATGCTGGAGATTCAGGCTCATCAATATCTACCAAAAGTGATTGTTGCGAATTTTGGGACAAGCCGGAAGAGGTAACGATGTTTGCGGGATTTGCGCCTGACCAGGCTTCGTTTCCTGAATCTTCGCGTTGAAGGCTGGATGTTTGTAATGGCAGCTTTTCGTTCGTGATGGGTTGCCAAGGGTTTGTGTCTTGCCCAGAAACTCCCAAGTTCGAAAATTGTTGAGTTACTATAAAGAAGATTAGTACAAAGTCAGGTTAGATGGGTGCTGACAAACCTTGAGATATTGGAGGAGGAGGAGGTGGTGGTGGATAACCCGGCTGTGTGGGTTTCTCTGTGAGCTCATTCCAGATATCTGCACTACTTTCCTTTCCATCGGATACTGCACTTTGCGAACTTTGTGATTGCTGCCTTCTTAAAAATGGGTTCGTGATTGAGGAATTGGGTTTTAGCATATCCTGAGAAGACTTGGGAGGGATTGTCGATGGCCCAACTCTTAAAGCGTCGGGAAGGCTTTTGGGATCGGGATGAGAATGTTCCTCTTCATTCCAAACATTAGGCTCTATGTTATCTGCAGGATGATCATAAATCACATTGTGATTCCTTTCGGGGCGGGGGATATGATGTGGATCCGAAGATACTGGGGTAATGGGGTATGGCGGCGAGGAGGTGTTGTTGGAAGGGATGCTGGATTGGGGAACGGGCTTTCGGGTGACCATCGTGAGTGATAGTTCTCCGATAGCAAGAAGTATTATTTAGAGCGGGGTGAAGTTTCGTTCCTGTCGATTGAATATCTGGGGTAAAATTGATATTCTGGATTCCTCAAATATCGGTATCAGCGAACCATGAGGTCATAACCAATTCAAAGCAAGACGATAGCAGAATGCAACCACAACTCTGCTTTTAAATTTGTCTCAGAAAGCTTTTAGATTTGTAAGAGGATACAATCGAGCTCCTTTCAAAGGGGTTGAAAGTAGAAATCACTCGTATGTTTTAAATAGAGCTTCCAAAGGTCGATTTCCTTGAAAGACTACCTAGGTATCGATGGTATCGATAAGTACCTAGTAAGATGAGTGGGTATCGTATCCGTATCTGCGCTTTTGATGTGGAATGTATCGTATGCGGCTGGGGAATTGATGGTGTTAAAGCAATTGCGACAAACTTGGTGTTTCTTTCTCACAAAAGTTGAAGTAAAGATAGTTGGCACAGAAGAATATATTGGTGACAGTGAGCATTCAATTTGCTTAGTATTTATCAAAAGGAATTGCTTGCGCGTCTTAGAGCTTACTGCTATTGAGGTCAAACTTGGCCGGGGCCGGGGTAGTTCAGTGTGGCTCAATATGTGGCTGAGCATTGCCACACATGGAAGGCTGAAGTATCTGACAAAAGGTTTGGCCAATGATACGGAATCTTATGGAGAAGAAAAAATTAACTAAACGCAAGGCTACCAGAATCATTTGTGCTCAGAAAATAAATGAATATCGATTGATAGACAACGATAACAATCGGTACCCAATTGCATATACCTTTGAATACCTCCGATTAAGAGAGTGTTCTTACTATTCAGAATATGCACAACTTGGTTAAAGCAAATGCTTGGGTAGCACTAAGACTACCTTCAGACAACCTCAAAGTCTTACAAGTTGTTCCAAATACGTGAGTGAGTTTCGATAGCGTTGGGGGAGAATTTTCTTCTATCTACAGTTTTCTCGAATTTTGACAGAAGCTCCTTGCTGACAATTGCACCAGTCCAATCTCACTGGGAAAATATGGTACATTTCCGAGCAATCTCATAATTGATCGTCCCTATAACCTCAAGTACGAACTTATCGACCGACAAAAGGATCAAAAATACTCGGATCTGAGGATTGTACCTGCTTCCGAGATCCATGCCGACACAATAGCAGAAGAAAATGCAGCAGCGAATCCGGTTCCAGATGAAAATGTAATAATTGGAGGGGATGGGGTCGAATTTGAACTTGTTGGAGAAAATGGCGAAGTTATTATGCGCTCGAATCGCGAAACTATTGATGACTCTGCCAGGCAGACCCTAACTCAAGAGGAAATTGAAACCTTAAAAAGAGACGGCGCAGCAGCAGGAAAGGATCTCATTGCCAAACTAATGCTATCGCACACTGCCCTCGACGAAAAGACTTCTTTCTCGTTAGCAAAATATAAGCTGCTGAAAACTAGAAAATACCTGCGGCAATTCACAATTCTACCAATGGATGTGGCAATGATGGATTACTGGATGATGAAAGAGAAAGATGCTAGCAAGATCATGGAATGCAGAGATGAAATGCTCGCTTTGGCTGGAAGCTGGGCAAATGTACATTTCTCCGAGGATCCAGAAAGCGAGCATACCGACGACCCTCTCAATACAAGTGGTGGCGGGCGACTATTAGTTGTGGATGAGACTGGTGGTTTACTGGTTGCAGCTATGGCCGAGAGAATGGGCCTACTGTACCCAGAAGAAGATCAAGATTTACCCACGGAATTCACAGGAGCGTCAGAAGAAGCCCAAGCTGATAAAGAACCAGCTCCTCGACACCAGCACGATCGTCAATATCGACCTTATGCCAGTACTAATACCTTGACTCTAATACACACCAACTCTCAACCAAATCTTTCACTCCTGAAATACTTCAATTTCAATATTGATAGTCCTGCAGCATCGCACCCTCTGACTAGACGACTCCTACCTATATCCTGGCTTCAACTCATTTCGCCAGAAAGCGATGGTTTGTATTCATCTCCACCTCCTTCAGCAACTCCAGAGGAATTATCAAAATGGAGTTCGGGCAAGAGAGGAACCCATTTTCGAAAGAAGCGTCGCTGGGAGAGAATTAGACATATAGTATCGACTACACAACATGGCGACTTCACCGGCTTAGTGGTAGCTTCCAACATGGACCCTATATCTATTATCCGCCGCACTATTCACCTTCTACGACCCAGTGCTACCATCACCATATACTCCCCCACTATTGAACCCCTAGTCGCCCTTGCAGATCTTTACAGCACGAGCAGAAGAACAGCATTCATTCAATCACCCCCAGAAGAGTTGAAGGGGCTGTCACAAGCCGAAATAGCAACATGGCAAGGAAATGAAGATTTCCCTCTCAATCCCTCGCTTATCTTGAATACATCGGTACAGAGCTGTAGAAAACGCGAGTGGCAAGTTCTGCCAGGAAGAACTCATCCTTTGATGACGAGCAAGGGTGGTGCTGAGGGATATTTGTTTACGGGAACGAGAGTTGTTCCCGCGGAGGGGAAAGTATCCGCCAGAGGGAAGTTTTCGAAAAGACCAAAGGTAGTTGAAGTAGAGAAAACGAGTACGGGAGCTACGGAGGATGTTGAAGGGAGTGCGAATAAAAAAATTAAATTGGAACCCGGAAGTTTGGATATTCAAACGAATGGCGAACAAGATGTAAATATGGGAATATAGAGCTAGACTCCAATGCAATTAATATATCGCGCTTTCTTTGCACTGCACATATCTAGTGAAGTATAGAATCGATATTGTATTTGGTAAAGTAGTCTGGAAGATTGGTGGACCTCTTCAGCCTGTCCTTCTCTCTTGGCCATCCCTCCACCTGGCTTCGTTTCGTAACCACAACTATATCTTTGTATCGCCCATAATAACACCGCCAACTCCCTAACAAATGCATGCTCCCAACTTGCAACGTCATCTTCTTTTTTTCAAGCAGCTTATATTCATATCTACAGACCTCCTCACAGACTCTTTCCCATAAACTTCCTCTTCGTGAAGCTCAACCACCATTTACTTGGCATCCTGTCCTCAGTATCGTAAATGCGTGCTAACAATCTACTTGCCAATTCCTGACGCACTTGCCCTAGATACTGTCGGAGGGTCTCGGCTTCTTGTCTTGAGGCGGGTGCCTCGAACATCTATTTTGGAGTGCCTGTTAGCTTCCCTCATTTCATTCCGACTCCTATCCCAATACACAATTTCCAATTCCAAGCCCACAGCTAGAAACCTAACAACACAAGTAAAACGGAAACCAAACCCACCTGATTCAAAGGAAACCCTGGCTCTCCGGGAATGGCAAAATTGCTATCCAGCGCAATATTCTGGACTTCCTTCTGCGCCTCCCTAAACTCCATCTTCGGTCTCACTTTCCCAATACACTCGCTAACCCACAAAATTCCATAAATCAAAAGACGATCTGGGGGCCCCTGGATTTCAAAATTGCGGAAAAATGTGTTGGCGCGGAAGAGCGAAAGTACTTCGTCTAATGCATCGTAGGATTCGGAATCGGGCTCTGGGGAGAGATGTGCTGGGAGAGAGGGATCGAGAGGGAGTGTGTAGGCGGGTCCGCGGACTTTTGTGCGGAGAGGGAGGAGAGGGAAGTTTCCAATTAGGTGGAGAGGAGTGGAGGAGTCTTCGTTGAATATGCTGTTGTAGGCCTAGGAGAGGTGGTGTGTTAGCTTTGTCCAAGGTATGACGGGTGAGGTGTTTGAAGATCAGAGCGGTTCTGAAATGTTTATCTCGATATTATTTTTCGATTGAAAGAATTGAAACATAGAATTGTATCAAATACTTACGGGCATATTGAACAATTTGCGTTTGTAAATATGGGAAAAGGTGTACGAGTTGTTAATGTAGAGGGGCTTGAAGCTGCGTCAGTTCAAGGAGAGGTGTCGGCTGGTTAAGCTATCTGTTGGCCTGAGGCTGACGTAGCTACGCTTTTGATCCACCTCGCTGTGGAGCTGAACGACAACTTTATATCCACTTCAACGGCATTTCATAAGCGCATGAAGTTATTTTGGAAGACTCTTGTGAGTGAGATGGTCTTGGAGAATTTGATGAAGTTACCATTGTAATGTCTGAAGTTATCCAATGCCGAGAGCGGGAGTAGGAAGTTCTGCTATCTTCTCTCCTACTATTGCTCAGCATGTGGTGCACAGCCTGGCACCGGCAATCTGAGTCTGTCCAATTTGTTCACTAATTTCGACACGTTCAACCCAAGCATGTTTGTGAGCTTTCTACTCTTGTAGTTTTATAGGCTAGGAACAGACCAGTCTACCAGCCCTTGAAACATAATGCGCGAGATAAAACTTTCACGAAAAGCTGGACCATCAGCGAATCAAGACTTCAATCTGTTTCAAGCACCTGGAAAAGTTTTCCATGTGAATATGCCCTAAGTTAAGTTGTGTAGATTTAAGCAGTATCCTTACCGCTGAACCTTGTCCATTGCAATTTGAAAAGCACTTGCTTCTGTAGGAAGCGACTATGAACCTTTGTTATAGACTCATGCCGACTCGGCAAAGAAACATAAATAGAAAACGTTCTTGAGAATGAATGCATATGTTAGATTTCGAGTTGAAGTTGAGTTTGAGGGCTAGTATATGTTACCACAAAGCCTGTCTCAGTCAAACTCCTGGTCCCGGTTCATTTGAGTTCAGCTAACATCAATTTTACATTTGCACTTTATTCCTTTGCATGTATTTCTTATTTTGTAATCAGATTATCAACTTAAAGAGTTGAGTATTTAGTAGTCTAGACTACAATCATTCTTGATACCTTACTTAAAAATGATAACAATCAAACCGTTTCAACAGATAGATTGTTTGAATCAATGACCATCTCAATATCTGGAATAGTCTTAGTATTGGTGTTTTTTCTTATGATACAAAGTCTGTGGCCGGACTTTTAGACACAGCAACAGAATCTTAGATGTCGAGCCATGTCAACTTTTGCTGCTGGGCAGTAGATACGTTCATATCGCACCCAATCTCATGGTCACATATGTGGAAGATTTCCCGATTTAATTCCAGATATCTCACTGCTTCGATCAGCTTCATCCAAACTGACTGGTGACTTGTGTTACTCCCCTACCTGACAAACAGGCTCGAGATTTTACTGAAATTTGTTGCAATACTTGGGACTGACGAAGGAGCTCGCACCCTCGACTTTTCATGGGGTATTTTACTATTGCAGTGATTTGTGAATCTTTCTAACGTTGGGTTTCAATAAAATTCCATGGATGCTTCAAACTCTGATATTGCTCTATGAAGCTTGTTCATATCTGAGCTTGAGTAGCGAGCATCGTTAAAACATCACAACAAATCCAATCAAATGTTAGTGTTCATTAAAATTGAGCGGACAAATCAAAGTGTTGTCCTCCAATGATGATTGATTGTTCCATATTTGGAGGTGCATCTGACTTCGGAGAAGGTGCATTTTCAATGATTCAGTGACTCGCAACCCCTCGCTGTTCTAGCATGCTAAGTTTGAAAGATGGCAAAGGCTTTGTAAGAGTATTTCACACCTGGTGCCAAATGAAATCAATCGAAAGCGTTGCAAAGCATTTCGGAAAATTGTTCCTACATCAGCAAAACTTTCCCACAGAGATTTTTTACCATATACGTCTTTTTGCTCCAATATAGTTGACACATGCTGTTCTTCGCCTTTCTATTCGTTGTCATATCAAAAATCATGAGATATCATCATCGCCCAAACGTACATGCTCTCTTTTACCCGCACCCCTGCATAACCCAGATTCCGGATAAAATGTGATAATACACTTCCCGACGGCTCGCCGGGAAATTGAAATTCGTTAAATGAAAATCCGGGGTATGTGGCAACACTGCCGAAGGAACACCGCATGTGGGGCGTTTCAAGGCAAGATTTAAGGAGAGTCGCTGAAGATTTGCAATCCCATAGGCGGAGTTTATATGACGACTAATACTTAATATATTAATATAGAGTCGATCTGCTTCATATTGAGGCTTTCAGCATCAATCATGAGACGAGTTATTTGCTCCTGTGACTAGAAGCTTGATTGCCAATGTTTCTGTCATAGTTGTAGTTCATTTGTACATTTGTAAGATTGAACTGCCGTGTTCGCTTCTATCAACCAGGAAAGGGAGGAGATATCGATGCTTGGCAGTCGAAGTATAAATCAGCCACCAAATCCCTAAATACAGTCCGAGTATACAACCACCAAAGTCTATCCCATCAAGACAGTGACCATGTTTTCCAAGCAACTCACAGCTTTAGTACTCGTCTCTGCCGTACAGGCTCATGGCACAGTCTCTGGAATCGTCGCGGATGGAATTTAGTAAGATTTTCCCTCCTTAAACATGATACATCTCTCCAGAAACTGAGCTAACAATATCAAGTTACGATGGATACAATCCAAGCTATCAATATACCTCACCCGCCCCCGTAACCGTTGGCTGGCTGATACCTAAAGACCTCGACAACGGTTTCGTCTCTCCAGCTGCGTACACGTCTTCCGATATTATCTGCCACGTTGGCGCAACACCAGCCCAAATCGAGGCTCCCGTTAAGGCAGGTGGAAAGGTTGAACTTCAATGGACACCATGGCCCGTATCTCATAAGGGTCCGGTCATCGATTACCTGGCCAACTGCAATGGTCCATGCGAGACTGTCGACAAAACAACACTGAAATGGTTCAAGATCGATCAAGTTGGATTGATCAGTCCAACGGCAGAGACCAGTGGTCTATGGGGCACTGATGTATTGATTGCCAATAATAATAGCTGGACTGTCACGATCCCCTCAAATATCGCGACTGGAAACTATGTTCTTCGCCACGAAATCATCGCGCTCCATGCTGCTAGCTCTACGAATGGCGCTCAAAATTATCCACAGTGTGTCAATCTTGCAATCAAGGGTACTGGAACAACAAAACCAGCCGGTGTACCCGCGACTAGCTTTTACACTCCTACCGATCCGGGTATACAGTTCAGTATTTATGGATCTCTTTCGACTTATACTGTTCCTGGTCCTGCTCTCTACAGTGGTGCAATCTCAGTTACGCAAACGCTCCCCGCTGCACCAACCGCGAGCGCAAGTGGTGTTTATACTGTTTCATGATGAAGTTGAAAACATAGCTGCTTGGGCTTCGAGAGTGAGGAAGATATTGGAAACCGATGTTGATATGATGGGGCTTGTGATGTGTTGTTTGTTTTTGTGAATGATTGGGTTTATGTAGCAAAGAATGAAAAGACGTTGCCAACAGAAAATGCGCCTTTGAACTTTAACATCCACCTTGCAAGAATAATTCTCTTATAATGGCATAATCATAGTAAAAAGAAGATAAACCCATTATTTCAAAGCCTTAGTACGGCTTATCAATCCTGAAATGTTTCTAATTCCTCCAAACCTTAATACAACCTCAACATCGACCACCCAGCAATCTCGCAAAGTTCATTCATGACCTTATCAAATGCGATAATCGTAATCGACTATATATACCGCGATAACTGAAGCTTCCCCATCCAGATCGCAAAGGCGACAAACAGTCCTGTTTGTTCAGGTCAAATGCGGTCTGGTGGTGGAGTGGTAATACGCCTGGTTCGAATCGGAAAAAAATCCCGTCGCGGGGTTTCTCCTCCCGCCCCTCTCATGGGGTGGCAAGGTTTTGCCATTTCTGACTGCTTTTTCTTTTTGTGTCATGGCTTAGAAAGTATCACTGCCATTTATTAATGATTGTGAGAGAAGTGCTTGTTTTTATCCTCTCTTGGTTCTTGTTGTTGTGTGGTAAGCGAAGGGTTGAATTTTTGAGTGGGGGAAATGAAGCGAGGGAGAGTGAATGAGGTTATTGTGGACTTTGGAGATGAAGGCGAGGTGAGCTATAGCTGTATTAAGCTTAACAGTGATGAATGGAAGTTGGAAAAAGCTGCAAAATATCTAATGGAATGCGTCAAGTTACAAAGTACAAAAGGTTGCATCCTGCAGCAACGCTGATCATGTTGCCGACTTCTGCCCGTCGAGGGTCACAATTTGTGATGTGAAAGTTTGTTTCATCCAAACCCCATGGGACAATAACATTTAAGATTTTCTTGTGACACAGATGATTGTTGATTTCAACAAGCTGAAGTTAAATTCATCTGAATGATCACGAGCTTTCTTGGAGCGCGGTGTGGCCTCCAGTAATATTCCCAATGTTAAGACCATAGACTATCAAGATTCCTGAACTGTGCACGATTCCGACTGGAGAACCACATTGATTGGCATGAAAATGCTCATATGTTCCACACATCACCAAAGAATTCACGTTTTCGTCACTATACAGGCGCGGTTACAAGGGAGGCAATCTGCTCGATTCATGCTATTTAGTTATGTAAAGTTTGGAACTGAAAGGGATCCTCCTGCGATTTTCATGAATATACTATAGAAGCTTCTCCTTTCTGTGAAATCACAATCTATGAAAGTGAGTTCTTCATGGTAAATCTCCCAGTCACTCACAATCAAACGGCGTGCTCTTGAGCATTAAAGAGTTCAAGTCTTTGAGATTATCTCACAATCGCTGGTATCATTCTAAGCTGCAAATGCAGAAAGCTGCCAACACTCTTGCCATTTTGTTTTTTTAATAAAATTTTTATATCTACGTGACCCTAAAATTAATCTGCCCCTAAAGATTCCACGACAAATCCACGTGACTATGACCCATTCTTGTGAATATCGGCATGTCTGACTCACCCGACGCAGCTTTCCTATCATCATTTTCTGACGAAATAACATTTCCAACTGGAATAATAGCAACTTATAATCAACAAAAGCAAATATGGTCTTTACACCCACAAAACCTCCCCTTCTCCTCGTCGTCGACCTCCATCAAATTTTGGTCGATCCGCCATCTTCTTGGGGTCCGCGCTCTACCCCCAATCTCACTTCAAATGTGACCACACTCATCAGTGCCTTCCGCAAACGATCCTTCCCAGTACTTCATGTTCATCACCACTCGCCTGATCCCAGCGATGAACTGTACCCGATTGAGGCCAACGCTAGCTTCATCGCACCACATGCTTGCGCCGTTCCTTTACCCCATGAGCCAGTCTTTATCAAGAACACTGGAAGTGCACTTGCATCTAGTAAATTGAAGGAAAGTCTTCCAGAATTTGACTGTAGAGACAGAGAGATTGTAGTGATTGGCATGGAAAGTGCAAAGTGCATCAACAGCACCGTGAGAGGTGCGAAGGATTTAGGATTAAACTTGGTGGTTGTCGTAGATGCGTGTGCGTCTTTTGGATTTGATTACTTTAAGAAAGAGAAGATAGGAGCGGAGGAGGTGCATAAAGTAGCGATGGGGATCTTGGATGGTTCCTACGCTAGGCTGGCTGAAACCGACGATTTGGTCAAAGAATTGGGGAAATGGGACAACGCGAGCAGCATTGACTCGTGAGTCATATATCGTTCAGTGGTAGAGGAATGAACGGTTTTTGACTCATGACTTTGCTTTATAACCACACACCTCTAGTTCGACTTGACATAGTTTCGAACATCTGCCATCCTAGTATAATCAGTAAATGAAATAGACAAGAGAGAAACCACATGATGTGGAGTTTGAAATGATGTCGAACTTGTCAACTTCTTCAACTGCCACTGAACGATTTTCTTTGTACAAATAGATTACACTATTATCCCCTGGCAACAGAAGTTGAATTTCTTTGGTGGGAGGTAACCGAGATTGTTCTGTAACAAAATGATTTCCAATGGCCTTCACGATATTACTTCTTGCATCTACGTCTATTCCACCTAATGACAGCGATAGATAGGAAACAGAAGCAGGTAAAAGCTCATTGATGAATATCTCAAAGTCTCTGGGTCCTTGGTCCGCTAAAATGCGTGCTGAATTTGTAGCTCGAAATGCGGCATTGGCATGATCACAGATCGCAATTTCCAAAGGCAATTCAAGCTTTTGGAGACACTTAAAGCCACGCATGAATACCTCGTTCGGGGCGATTGAAACTATCGGTCTGTCGTTGAGAGAGGTATCCTCAGTGGACGTTGACGCGCAAATTTTGATAGAAAGTTCCTCAAGATAACTTCCTGCCTCGCCTTCGATTGCTGCAATGAATTTGAAAATATTCCAGACCTCATCATCGCTTTCCTTCTCAGGCGAATGGGTATATTTAAAACTCCTAAGATGCGGGGCATGTTTGAGGAGATTGGCAATGGCTACGTCACTGATACAGCAGTTTTTAAGATAGACTGTTTCGAGTTTCTGACCACAACGAAATTCCGGAATTGGTTTGGAAGGGTGTATAATGGATAAGTCCCCTCTTGCTACGAAGTTGGGGCCCCGATATGACCTCAAATTTGGCAGTGCTAACAACGGAAAGTCTTTCCACCAGTCAAATTTGAGTCTAGTGTAGGTCGATATCTTGATCTTGGTAAGTTGAGCGAGACTGGGATCCTCACATGGGAACGTCGACAGCTTGCTTTCGGCAATAATAGCCTCAAGAAGCCTTTTGGGGGCCTCGAGCGGCTGCCAAGGAGATAGTACGAGAGTCTTGACGTTGGGTAACATTGTCAAGACAAAAGCAGTGACATGTTGTGAATAGTTCCTAGAGTGCCGGTTCCTTCTCAGATCCCTTTTAATATGATCGTGATATTCCTTCCAGTCCAATCCTGCTTTCTTTAAATAAGGAGAATCAGCGAGTAGCTTTTTCAGAGGTCCATGATGTCTACGGTAAAAATCCTGAATATAAGAATGATATCTGTCAACGCCAAAGTCTGCGTGTATGATATAACGGGCAATTATAGGCTCGCTATCGATTCGTAGAATGAGATCCAGCAATGTCTTAATCGATGAGGACGGTCCTAATGATAGTCTATGGAATTGTGACCGAAGTCGATTGTGACATTTGAGGAAAGGTGTGCACAATGCGTGAGTTTCTCGGCAGGTCAAAGCCAGACTCTCAAATCCTTCGGGCAATACAAGCAATACGACTTTATCCAAGATTTCGTTAGGTAGATTGAGAAGCGACATTTTATAAGTAATAAGGCTTCAAAATTATAGAGAAGATTTTGTGATGTTTGGAAATATATACGCCCAGTTTAGCGCAGAGCCTAAATATAGTCACGTGATCATCCTCTCCGGACTTCTTACGTATTCGCATCTAAATTACTAATAAGTATCAATATTCTAAGCCTTCTCTCGTTTTCTTCCCTCCTCGTTTGGAATCATTGAAGAGGTTCTACACACATAGAATTCATCGGGAATCACTAATCGTTGATTTAGAGAACTGTCCGTTAGGTGTGGGGTTTCGTGAAGCTTTCAAGCTCGAGGCAAAGCATGATCTTCCCGAGAAGCTCGTTGGGAAGCTCTAAGAGGAACATAATGTTCTTTATGGTTCGTTACTTAAGCTTGAAAAGTAGTCTTTATTCGGAGGTAGAATTCTAGTAGGGAGTAACATTTTTGAAAGCCGGTCAGGCGGAAAGCTCAAATATTCATATTGTCCAGACACGTGGCTTCTGCACATCGATTTCTCCTAGAATGGAAGGAGAGACATAATTATGCCCTAAATGAACGCACCAGCTCTTTCCCATACAAGTTTTTAGTTCATTGTTATTTCCATTCTCACGGTTTCCAAAGTATGTATCATGTTCAAGTTACAGGGCAAATGTATTTTTTATTGTATTTTAGTGTTTTTCAATTACATCAAGAGCGAACATCGACAGAGGGAAGTGCAAACATACCTGTATGAGGACCAGCCTTCAGATTGAGTTTCGAGTCTCATGAGTCCCTGCTCATGAACTTCTTGAAAGCACCATACTCCTCGAGTAATTCGCGATGCTCCTTTCTCGAGTCTTTGAGTGCCTGTTGTGTGCTTTTTATGATTTCAAGCGAATCGAAGTGTTCTTCTTTGAGGTCATTGAAACAGTATTCGCATTCACAGATTTCACCCCCAGGACTATAATGCTCCCAATTGTCAAAAACACACCCCTTCTTTACTTTGGGCGGGAGAGAAAGTCTTGAGAGGCCGGGAGTTTGGTGGACTAAAGCTTCGTACTTCTCGCGAAGTTTCTGGTTTTCTCTATCCAGCGCAACGAGTTCGGAATAGAGAGCATGTTGAACTTGGACGATTTCAAACTGATGTTCTAACATATACTTGTATCCATGGTAGTTATCATAGCAGTCAAGTAATCTGCAGTCGCTATCGAATTCGTGATCCAATTGGTCTTCGTTAGGTTCCCATACCGCAGTTAGTGTGATCTCCGCACCGGGAGTGACAATCCTCAAGTTGTCAACGATATCCGAAATGCATCCATCGTTTGACTCAAGATCCATATATGTCTCTGGAGATGGCGTGTTTTCGCCTTCGCGTTCGAAGGCTATTTCCACGATGTCTGCAATGGTTTTATCAATAAGATCAATAATTCCATCTATCTCCGGAGTCACTGTGATCTCCTCAAGTCTCTCAACTACTTCAGCAAGGTCTCTATCAATTATCATCAAAATTTGGTCCATGTTAGCGGGTTTGATTGTCTAACCTAAATGATTCGCTGGATTCTTTCTGTTAAGACTGGTGCTATTGGTACTTTTGAGATGTGATAGGTGATCGATGGCGAGTATGAGGATGGGGTCTTGCTTACAAGGTAGATATTGCTTGATCTTATAGTTTAAGAATTACAATTGTTCAGAATCTGTTATCTTGGACGTTTGTGGCTCACTCCCTGAAGAAATTTTACACGGCTGAGTTTAGTAAGACAAATTTCTCTATCATCTGGCAAGCATGTGAGCTATTCAAGATTGTTCCATACTGTTCGAGCTTTGCTTTGTTGTTATACCCAGGTTGGAAGAATGCAGGTCCAAGTTCTTTGTTAGAGAGGCACAATTCTTTATCTCTATCACAATTCTTTGTCTGACCTGTATCTCTGACTCTAATTAACACTGCAGCCGAGACCTCACAATCTTTCTCATATTCTATCAAGCAACATTTTTTTTTACCAGCCATCTATCGACAGATGCTCAAGAAAATACCAGATTGGCGTGTAGAATACCAGCCAGAAGAATTCTGCGACACCTTTCAATTGTGTATGCGTTGATCCTGCTTTATGCGCTCCTGAAACAAGCATCTATCCAATGTATTCATATAAACTCAACTGCTACTCGGGATCAACTCTATAATATATCGTAGGCAGTTTGACTCATAGATGCATCCAGCGCGCTTCTGAAGAACAGAAAGTCTTCGTTACTTCGATTTCTGCGAAGATACAAGACGCCTATATGATACGTTAGTTGCGTAAACGAGTCATTGCCACTGCCGTCCAAAGCTGCACAGGAGAACCATGTGGAGCCACATAGACTCTGATACCTCAGAATGGCTAGCATTTTCGCGACCTCAAATTACATGGCAATATTCTTCTCAATACATTCACTTCCATTTCATTTCACAAGGTTGCTATTCATATAAGCATCTAATTATTTTATAAATCTTAAATTAATTCATGATTGCCCAACTCCTAGATATCAACAAAGGAAAACTAGAAAGAAAACCAAACATCCGCGCGAAGACCAGCTTCTAACAAATCCCTATTATTCTATTATTGAAATCTAAATACTCGTCGAATAAATCGCTGTATTCTTGCTTGAAGTCGAATAATATGGGGAAAATGCGGTTGACTTTGGCAAAATTGATGAGTTTCAGCTCGAGAGCACAGTAAGAACACGAACCACATCGATCGCGAGGTGTATTCGAATTTTCGTCTTGGTGAGGAAGGAGGTGTTCGTATTCCTCCACGAGAACTTCATCTGGTTCAACTCTGAGATGAACGTAATCATCATATTGCTCGTAGATATTATCGTTCGGACCACGAGAAATTTTATACCTTGAAGAGTTGGTAGCCCGAAGGATTAGAGCCTTGTATCTGTCATCGAGCTCTTTGTATTCTTCCATCGTGGTTTCGCACTCGGTATTGTATCTGGATCTTTCTCGGTAGAGCAGCTCGATCTGTTCTTCTATCATCTCTTTGCAGTCGCTGCAGTTGTGACGACAGGGGCAAGAATCCTCAGGGTCGTATTGGTATTGTTTATCGAATGCTTCTGGATTGGCCGAAATCTTCTCTTGCATAATCGCGAACAGCTGATCGCATTTATCAAGTAAGTTTTCATTCATGACAGTCATGGCATCGATTTGTTGACGTAAAGTATTCTTGGTCTGAACAATTTTGACATGGCAAGTCTCCAATTGTTCATAACGACGACGAAAGTGGCAGATTCCCATAGCCAGAGGGCTGGGTCGTTGGTAATCGTAGCAAGAATTATCAATGATTGGCAAATCAAAAGGCATATCCGAGAACTTGACACTGAAGCCGGTCATTTGGTGGTAAAGTATTGAGTATCTCTCGCGATACCTCAAATTATTCTTTGCCAAAGTAACAAGCTTGTTGTACAATATATTCCGGGTCTTGATAACGTTGAAGTGGGCCATTTCCAAGAATCCGATGCAGCGATTGCAATAGCAGTGAGTGCCAGGAGTGGAAACCTTGTATTTATATGCTAAATAGTGCTCCAAATTGGTGTATTCTGGGACTAGTTTAAGATCAGTTTCTATCTCCATGCATTCTTTATGAGCTAAAGAAATCAATTTACCAAACATCACTAACCTCTCTACCGAATCTATCTCGGCACTCATACCAGGGTCGGATTTTCCATTAGAAACACCTTCTGTGTTGGCTGATGTGTTTACTGATTGGATGGTGTCTTGGGTATAATCCATTTGACTTCTATCGCTGGTATCCCAGTCAATCGAAATTGGTGTCCACTTCATCTTGCTGATTGTAATCTGGGTCTTCAATGTGTAATGGAAGATTTAGATTAAGAACTAGATGTTTGGAATATTGAATGAGGATGGGAAGCTGTACTGAAATGAAATACACAAGTCAAACCAGAAGTATAATATAGTCGAAAAATGAGGTCTATTCACAGTCTGTTCCATGTATGTTATGCATACTTCTTCTTCTTTAAGAAGAACAAAGGTAACAATTTTATTGTTATCAAGCTTGAATCGTCTGTCCGGGCTTCAATGATTTGTCAAAGGAGAAGATGCCACGACGAATTTCAAGTGTCAAAATCCTCTTTTTGCGAACTTTCGTATCCCATGCATTGGGAACGAATACGAAATAGCGTGGAACCTACATTCACGATATAACGAGAGAATAGTATGGGTTTAAAACACATGGATTGCTACGTCAAGAGAAAGATAATATACAACCTCCACCAAAAGCCCCTTCAACCAGCCCCCACTACCGAAAGACTCATCACTCATCACTCGTCAACCATCCAGCCAACCACTATCCACGAACCAACAAAAGAAATCAGCCATTTGCTCATCCCATCATAATCCTCATCATCATGCCCCCATCACCGTCACCAAAATAACCAAATCAAACCAAAAAATCTAAAGAAACCAATTTGCACGTCCTTCCCCACTGAAAGTAGCTGACTCTACATCTTTCCCATTGGCTTTCTAGCCCATCCATTCACAGTTCTCCATCCAGCACCACAAGCTCTACCCTCTTCAATGAGATTTTGTACACCCTCCAACGTGCCCTCATCACCCACTGTCTGAACTCTACATCTCAACAACCATTTCTCCCAAGCCCAGCCACCGACCAATCCAGTAACACATGCTGCATCTCCTGTGCTCCCGCTAACCATCGCTTCCATTTCCAATGGATCCCCTACACTGTTTCTCTCCACGTCCAATCTATGCTCAGGATCTGCACCCATGGGCAAAAATACCCACGCGCGTTTGATACCTACAAAACCCGCGCGTTTGAGACGACCAAGCCAAAGTTTGGTGGGAGATGGATCGTAACCGAGGGTTTTGAGATTGAATCCAAACTCAACACTTTTGGCCAAACCCATTGGACCCGCGTTGACGATATCGGAGTCCATGATGGAGAAGTCAAGATATCCGCCTGGCTTAAGAATGCGCATGCATTCATTGAGACAAGCTCCCCATTCATCTTCACCGTTCTCACCGCGCTCCTTGAGAATCATGTAGATTTCGCGAGCGGAGACGAGATCGAATTGGTTGTCTTTCCATGGAAGCTTAACGAGACGTTCTACAGCTACCTGACGAAGATTCTTAGGACCGCGAATGTTGGAGTTTGAGAGTTGACGTAGAGCCTTGGTGGTTACAGTGTAGACTTTGCAGTTGGGATATTCAGTAGCACAATGCCATGCCCAATCGCATGTGGCTTGTCCACCCAGATCGAGAATGCGAGCACGGTCTCGAGGGGTACCGTTGATGGTGGGACCCATCGAGGACAGTCTCGCAAGACGCTTGGCAACCGGGGCTGCGATCAAGCGACCCCCGTTAAGCATTTTAGTTGCTGTGACGTTCCAGGCTGCAGGTGACATTTGCTCAAGAGCTTCTGCTTCTTTGTCATGCTGGAGCTTTTCGGGATCTTCAAATGGGGTATCATCGCCACGAGCCACGTTGGAAGACATGCGGCGCTTTGGGGACATTGGAAGAACGCTCAATTGGTATTTACCGAGAAGACTGGCACGATGAGCTGCTGGGAAGGAGACGCGTTGAGATTGGATAGCTTCAAACCTGGGCACACGATGCACGAAGACATCACGGCGACGAGTTTTGCGAACTGAGCGTTTGAAGGCACGATGATATGTAGACTCTTGAGGAAGGGCTTTGGGTAGCGGACAGGCATTTCCAGCTAGTGTGGCAAGTGTAGCAGTAGCAGCTTCTGGAGTGGAGACATCATGATTGATTGGGTCTGTGGAAAATCGAACGGTCTTTTTACGCTGCATAGGTAGTTGTTCAGGCTCAATTGGCGAGACATTCATTTCTGCTGCTGAAAGTCTTACACTGACAGCTCGCTTCAACAAGGCAACTTCATCATCACGAGCCTCTGTAGGATTGATGAGTTCTGAGAGGTAGTCATGCTGAGCTGCAAGCCACAGTGCTGTGCGGTCAACATTGGCATTCGCAGTATCCTCAAGCTTGTTGATGTATCCAGGTGCGTAATCCGTTAAGATCTCGTCAGCTACAATTTCCTCCTCAAAATAAGTTTTGTTTGGTGGTGGAGAGCTGACAGGAACAATTGTTTCATCAGAATTGTCATGGCGGATCTCGGGTCTAATGAATTTAGCAGTAGGTGGCCCATCAGTATCAGCGGGCTCTGGAAGTTCGATGATACGCTCAACTGGATGAGGTGCCCACGGAGTGTTGTAAAAGTTTTCGGCGGTAGTTGACGAAGGCGGAAGGGGTTCGTCTGGCGTGATGGGTACAAGGTGCCAGGTATGTCTTGCGCCATGGCCCAAAGATGCAAAGAAGCCACCAGGAGATGGAATCTCCAGATTTGTTAAACTTTCCATAGCTCGCTGTTGACTTGGAGTAAGAATTAGCGAGTTAGCGCGATGAATGTTTGTATTCAATGGTGGCAAGCTTTGCTGCATTTCTTGGCCAGGTATGATTTCTTGCGGTGCGGTACTCAAATCAATGACCTGTTCCGGCTGCTGTTCATCAAAGTAGTCATTTGAAGGTCCTGAAATCGCCTCTAAGGTGGCCATAGCAGCAGGTTGCAGTTGAACGCCCCAGCTAGCCCGAGGGCCATCTTCTTCACTGTCGTATCCGACATCTGGAGTTGGTGGAGCAGATATTTGGGCCATCTGCTCTGAATCCATGCTTCCATCCAACGAGGGCGGAGTCGATGATGATGGAATTGATAGATTTTCTTGACTCTTGAGAAACGTGAGAACAGCGGGAGACATTGCTACTCTCGGGGGTGGCGTTGGTGGTACTGGAGAGGCTAGTTGTCGTTTGAAAGCGGTGACCTCAGCCCATGGATCTTCATTCGACGGAATCACAAGTGAAGGCAATGAGCTTAGGGAGTTTCTACTTCGAGTAGAGCCCATGGATGACCTGTTTGACCTTGAAAATTGCCCAACACTAGTTCTTTGCCTCATAGTGCTGCTCCTTCGATTATCGTCGTCAGATGAAGCATCATAGAGATCATCGAAGTCTGTAGCATCGGTTGTAAAACTTGTCCTTGTCCATGGTGCTGATGAAGGAGCGGAAGAAGAGTCTTTGCTCGAGTCTGAACAGGATGGTGACGCTGGACGATATTGTTGCATGAATTGATTGGCTCGAGGCGTTGGAAAGTGGTCGCTGAGGGGAGAAAGGAAGTCTGCCTTCAGGGGGGATCTATCTCGACCCCGCATTTCCATGTGTCTTGAACCCCGTACAGATTCTTCTTCATCTTCCATTATTGTATTAAGTGGCCGTCTTCTTGTCTGTGCCTGCACAGGTGAAGTTGGCGGCCGGTATGTTGTAGCAGGTAAATAATCTAGAGTTGCCATTTTGTAGACCTAGAAAACGTGACCTTTTTGATTGCGTTCCTTGTCGACTGGGTATCGTGAATTAATTTCGAAAACGCGCTGCGTCTCGTGAGGCAAGGAAAATGAGATATTAAAAGATAGTATGCTTCGATCAACGAAGACTTTGTAGCAATGCCAAAAAAAAAAGAGAGGAATTAACAACGACAAGAAAAATACACCTCCTACACTACAAAAAAGAATGAGACGAGAAGAACTTGCGTTTGGTAACTGGGCCACTCAAGGGTTTATACTGACGATACCTGTATTGCTTGTACAATCGTCACTGGATAGCGTCAAAAGTCGACCAGGGGAGCAAGCAGGTGTGGCACCAATGGAAAACTATTTTTATTGAAGAACCGACCAAAAGGGACTCACAAGCTTCTCCAAGCGTCAAGACCAATATGATCTCCACTAGTCAAGAGATTCATCCAAAATGAGGATAAAAGGTTGAGATTGACTAAGATACTGCAACGTCGGTTCACGACCGTATAGCCAATAGAAGATGTGGCTGTTCAACCCAAATGCATGGCGATGACGGCCCCGCAGCGAATAGTTGGCAAGCAAGGACTGAAATGGGAAGAAAATCAATTTTTCTAGCAAATTGCGCGCGCAACGATTAATTGAGGAGGTAGGTTTTCTGTTAGCGCTTGCATACAGCATCTACCAATGAAAGTGCTCATCGACTGCAGAACCTTGCTGATTCATGGGAACACCACAAGTTCGGCGCGTAAAAATAGAAATGATTACAAGACTGACCTATGGGGATGGATTTCAATGCACCACGAGTTAGACCGGGTTTGACTTGATCGTAGTTCAACTTCGCACGACTGAATGTAATGTTCTGATTTATACGGAGGTTGGAAGGGTAATTAATGTAAACCCCACTTTTACTAAAATCTTGCTGTTTTTATAGATTCTATTGCTGCTTTAAGCGATTTGAATAGATATTGAACTATTCCCCTCTAAAATTCAATCTTTAAAGCTTTTACTTGCTTTTTATCAATTCTAATAGTTTTTCAGTATTCGAAGTATTTGAAGCTTCTGATAGATTCTAAATAAATTCTAAATAGAATTTCGAATCAAAATTCAATAAGAAATTAGTGATTTTGAATAAATTGTAAATAAAATATAACTTTTATAATACTTTTATTATCTAGAATTTACTATATAAATTTTTAATTAGTATAATGATATAATTGGCTAAAGTCTCTAAATATGGAGAAAAGCACAATCGGTTTTTGGTGGGTTTTATATTATTTACCCATCCAATCTCCATACAAATGATTCGTGAAGTACCCATATAGAAATGAGGACAGAAATAGGTGACGGGTGGGCTCCCTGTATATACTTTGACTTTCTGTAAGTAGAAACATCCGCCGATGAATATTGCCAACCAGTCATGCTAACCTGGTTGTGTCAAGCACA